GCTGGTCTGAGAGTATTCGACTCTGACCCAGTCAGACCAATCCCAGTGTTATCATCCATCCCGCTGCTGTTTAGCTTCACCAAGCAAATAAGCAATATTGCTGTGTTCTATCATAACGACGGTTTGAAAGGTGTGTAAAGGCAGTTAAGCGTGCCTGCGTCTTAAGTGCACCATCCAAGCATCCCTAGACGGATTATTAAAAAGGAATCCGTACAAGACTAAGGCAGATGGCAGTCTTAAGGCTGCTCACAAAGAGATCTTAAGACTTCACTTATCATCTTCACAAAAAAAACGAACATGTCTACATTGACTGCTGCTCTCCGGACAGGTAAGCATCTTAATACGCTCCAAGGCTGAGATTGCCCTCCTTCTCAGGAAAGAAACAGTGCTCAGATTGCAGTGGTATCTGCCACAGCAAGTCCCCTGGCAACCCCAGGAAAGGGTAGCAAACAGTGGTCTCAGACACAGCTATAACAGGAAAAGATAAAGCTGTCCCAGCTGAAGGACCTAAAAAGTCATGCCACAGGGAAGACACAGCCATCACCTTGATGGTCAGTTTTCAGCTGCCGAGATACTGCCACTGTCACGCCGCTACATGAGAGGTCACGCTTTTAGACCAGCTTTCCTGAAGAATGGCTTCAGGGATGTTGCAGCACAAAGTAGATGTGGACCCATCCCTTTGCCAGCCCCGTTTGCACAACAAAGAGAGGAGCCTGTCTGCTTCCATGGAGCAGAGGGGCTCCCTGCCCTGACCCTGGTGGCGAGAGACAGGTTTGCAAATAGCTCTTACCATCCTGCCACATGGCTCTCCCACCCTTTGACATCGCCCCAGGGAGCAGCCCCAGGGGCTGTGTTTTGCCCGCAGGTCCCCTGCCCTCAGCAAGGCGGTGCTGGCCCCAGCGAGCAAGGGAGACAGGCGGAAGGTCTAGCCTCTGGGATCCTCACACTACCTGGCCCCTTCCTCCCACAGCATCGCTGCCTTGCCAGGCACTCAGAGCCCTTGGGCACGCTGAGAGCCAATATCCACCCTCCAGCAGCCGCACACTCTCCCTCTCCCACCACAAAAGGCAGGTGTACCCTTAAGAGTACACCTTGACCTCAAAAAGAAGACGTCCAGGCATTCCTCTGACAGTGGCCCCTCAGGTCTGCAATAAATGAATGGGCATGGCCCAGTAGGCACTAACTCACTCGCAGCTGACTGCCCACAGCGTGGCTCATCTGGGATGTAGATGTGTCAGTATGTATCGGCCTTGGAAGTACCGCATTCCTAACTCGCCCACGTGTTGGTTTGGGCCCGATTTATTTCTTCTAGTTTACGCTCTCCCCTCTTTCACTGATGTGGGAAACGTTGTGCTGCATCGCCTTAAAACACAGCACTGCACTGCCACTAGTTGTGACGCGAGAAAGTTACCGTCCAGTTCATTAAGGGAAAAAAACACGACTCTTCAATTTGCTTGCCATTTATTATTCACTAGATACAGAGAATCCCTCCTGCTCAAATACCAGGGAGTCACCAGTTACGGGGGAAACGGTAACGCAGAGACCAAACGGAGAAGGATGTTTCTCCCGAGTTACAGCTTGGCGTTAACGTGAATTGCCATGAATGGATCTTCAGCGTGGTTACTAATCTGGAAATTAGCCATTCCATCCCCAGAAACATACACCTGACTTCCAGTGCATCGGTTGTCCTCCTTGTCTCCGGAAATAACATCACAGTAGGTACCAGCAGGCAGCCCAGTTTGCAAATTGACGTTCATATCCCTACGTGAAAAGAAGTGGACCCTCTTTATCCAATGTTTCCCAAACAGGTAATTCAAACCGGGTATAGAGGCTTTCTGAACCTGATGCTACTCCCTCACTTTGAACATTTGGCAATGTAGAGGCTGAGCTTTCTGATCCTATCCCTACTTTGCTCCCTGCACTCCCATTTTGGCTCTCTAGACCTGGCATGCGAGCCAAGGATCTCTGGTGCAGGCTGGCGTGAGCGCCCTCATCAGGAGAAAAGGCCGTTCTCCTTCCCATCAGCAGTGCTCATCAGGGATGCTATGCTCTTCTCTGAGGACACCGTCTTCTCCCACTGACTTACCAGTCATCATTATTGAAAACGATGAAGCCTTGATTGCCACGGCCAAAAGCTACTTGGTTGCTGCCATTGTCCCACCAGTTGGAGAAAGGCTGACCGTCCACCACGTTACGGAAGACAACCATGTTCCTGAAAATGCAAGGGATTGCTGTCACTGGGGCTGCGAGGGCTCTAAAGCCACGAGGAATACGAAGCAAAAGCAACAGCTCTTACTTCTTTTCGTCTCCCCAGAGACCTACCTGATTTGACGCCAGCGATGTTCACAAACCCAGTCATTGCCACAGGTAGTGTCTGCGTTGATCGTAACAGCCTTTGTTGATCCATCTGAGTTACTTGGTGGTCCAACCCAGTCATTGACGTCCTGTAGTTCAAAGGAGAAGGTTAAAACTTCTCACCGAAAAATTCAGAGAGCCTGTCTGTAGACAAAAGCTGGGGGGGGCGTCCACCTGCTAGATCCCACGTGGGACAGAGAAATCACTTCACTAATCTAAACTCACCAGACTGCTTCTCTGGCCCTCTTCTGATCCTCCTTCACCATGAACCTCTGTTCAGCATGACGAGCTTACCTGTCCGTTTACAAAATTTCGTGGCCAGCGGAAACTTGACATCACACGTGTGAACCCATACGGATGAGCGAGCATGAAACCGACTGCCATTTTGTAAAGCCTGTTGGTTGGACAAAGAGAGTCATGAGACGTGGGACGAGAAACCGTGCCAGAAAACAGAGACACAAACAAGCAGACGGAAGAAGCATCGCCCGGACAAGAGCGGTCCTTTACCTGGCGTCCCAGAAGGTCAGAATGGAAGCCCCACCGGCCCCGTGCCCCCGCTGGTTGTCGTGATTATCCACAAAGACCAGGGCTCTGTCGGAAGGCACAAAGCCCCAGCCTTCTCCCCAGTTCCTGGCCAGAAACACAGAGACTTGAAGTTACCCTGTCCACCGGTGTATCCAGGCTACCCCAGTGCGTAAGTCGCAGCATCCTCATCCTTACTTTAAGTAAGCCATCTTTTCTCCATTCCACTTGCGGATCACCGTCCCCAGTTTGGCACCGTATTTGAATTCCGTCACTCGGCCGTTTCCAAAGTACTCACTGCCTGTGATCGGCTCTCCACCCAAGTCAATTACCTGGTACACAGAGGGGAAACTCTGCCTCTCTTCTTGTCTCACAGAGACAAAAAAGGCAGTGTACAGCCCCCAGCATTAGCTCTTGCTTTGCGCTTGGAGAGAGAAGATTCAAGTATGTTTATTTCTCCTGTGCAGGTCAGCTCAGAGTTGACAGAATACACGGTGAACACGTGTGAGAGAACACAAAGAGGTGAAGTTCAACGGCAAGAAGATGTGGAGGCATTTTTAGAGAAGTACTTGGGGCTGCAGAGCTGCTCCAAAGAAAAGCTTATCTCTGTCTACAGCAAAGGCCACCGAAGGAGGGAGGTACAAGAGGTACTAAAGACAAAGACAAACCATTGAGGAGAAAACATGGAGATTACCTCTTGGTATATGAAAGGTCTTGTTCCTCCAGAAAACCACTGAGTATTTAGATCTTTCAGCTTGTCCAGAAATGCTTTAATGTCCCCAGGCCACATATGCTTGGCAGCATCAATTCGGAAGCCTGCTACGCCAATATCAATGAGATGGTTCATGTACTCAGCAACTTTTGAGCGGACATAGTCCTTCTCCAGGGCCAGATCAAGAAGGCCAGACAAGCGACAGTCCCGCACCTGGAAAGTGAAGGGAAAAAAAACCCCGAAACAGTTAGGAGGTGCCACTCTGTCAGCTTGTAACACCTTCCAGTGAAATGCTTACATGTTTCGAGCCATAAAATCAATTCTGTTTGTTTTGTATCTCTCATTTGCCATATGACCTCCTGCTCGGCATATAAAGCTGTGGGAAGAAGAAGGAAGGGGGGACGCTGCGAGAGAGGAGGATTTGTGATGTAGCCCCACTGTCCTGGAGATGGCTGAACTGCTGCCTACGGTCGGCAAGTGCTGACTGAATTCATCGTTCCGCTTTGCTTGCGTGTGTGGCTTTTGCCTTCCCTGTTCAGCTTGTCTCTATCGCAACCCCAAAGGAAGAGCGGTAACCTTGAGAAAAGAACTGCCACACACGTCATCAGCCAAAACAAGTCAGCCGCTCAGCCAGGGTCCCACTTTGTGCTGCTGTCAGTTTTCCATGGGAGCTCCCGATCAATATCAGCTGAGTTTACGAGCTGTAAGAAAGAGCTCACCGGCTGAGCTGAGTACACTGGGCCCACTGCAGGAGCCAGATCCTGCACATGCCTACGGGCAACATGTGAGGAGGGCTCTTGATTTCTCACTACTTGGAATGTTTGGCACCATAACTGCCTTTCTTGTACCCATGCTCACTACTTCATTCACCTGTCAGGTGACCAAACACAGCTTCTGTGAGAAACAGCTCCCTTTGTTTGGCCTTACTGTAATGTTTACACAGCAGGGTTTAAGAAAAGCAGAACAAAGCAAAACACAAAAACCAACAAACAAACAAATTGGGAAAGGAAAAAAAGAAAAAGCTTTCCAACTTTTGTCTGAGAAAGTTACCTGATAGGTATCACTGTAACTTTCAATTTCTCCACTTCCACTTTTACATTTGCCATCATTGAAATCCCAGCCAGAGTATGGCACAGCTGGAAAATCTCTTTTGCCAGCATTAAAGTAGCTTCCGCAGGTAGAATGAGTGCCTGAGCCACCCCCGGAGCCACACATGTGGTTGACCACAGCATCCACATAAATGCGCACCTGGAAAAGCAACAAGTGCATTTCAGTATGGTTTGCAGAGATGGTGAAGGGAGAGACAGAGCTCCACCACATCACCATTCACTTGAATTTGCTGGTCCCCTACAGATCGTTCTTAGTTTATGCCTCCTTTGAGGACAGCAGCACTAAACTCTCTCCACTGACACGGCACTCCTTGCCGTACCAGATACGGATTGTCAATGCACTTACTCCAACGTTGTTGCATCTGGTCACCATGTCTCTGAACTCGTCTTCATTTCCCGACCGAGTGCAGAGTTTGTAGCTGATGGGCTGGTATCTTTCCCACCAGGGTCCCACATAGACCCTCAATATCCTCTCCTTATACTGTAGTGGGCTGGAAATAAAATATTTAAGCCTATTTAAGCAGGGAAAAGCCTATTTAAGCAGGGAAAAAAATACTACAAAAATCAGGTCCATGGACATAGTGTCCTAATTACCTTTGTAAAGCAGGCCTCAAAGATCAAAAGCGTGGTCTGAAATCTGAAGGACTAGTCCAGCAGCGACAGCCCCGAATCAGGAAGGAACTGACCTCAGAACAACTGATATAACATCCTGCCCTTAAAATTGGTCCAACTTTCTATTTTTGTAATGTTTTGGATAAAAGCATTCTTGAATGAAACGGCACAGTTTTCGGACAAGCTACATCTCTTCCTTTTATAGACTCTTTGTGGGATATTTTTCAGGCAGGAAGGTTTTGCTGACACCTCCAAGTCTCCGGGCATAACCACATGATCCCACCACTCACAAAGAATCCTAGGCTGCAGCCTACTTAGCTGTCACAACTTTGTGATCCACTCAGCAGGTCTGCATCTGAAAAAACTTTCTGAGACCATATCATAGCATGGATTAAAAAAGATATCCAAATGTCTCCCATAGTCTGAGAAATCAATTTAAGACCTATCAGTCCTGTGCATCTGGAAAGGTGGTTGCAAAGAAAACTTCAAATGTATTTGAAAATGATGGGAAAATTGTCACTCAGGCCAACCTGAGAACTCCTGAGCTAGAAGAGACAGGAAGATTTCTCTCACCAATTCTCCTCAGCAATTTCACAAACAAACAGGAATTGTTTAATGAGTGACTACTCTCAGCCATACCACCCCACCTATCTGACACTACTGGTTCCACAAGAACCGGGTCTGTTGTTCAGACAGAACACTCACACCAACATACCTTCACCAGAACATGTGGTCTGTTCATTTCTGCTTACACCAGGCTCCTGCAACGAAGGGTCTCTTAATGGCTTACCCTGACACTAGGCTTTACAGAGGGAAACTTGCCTGCTTGATCGAACATAATTAGCAGCCCTTTATATTTATTTTAAACCTTCAGCCCTTTGGTATCGAGGAAGCTCTTTTGGGAGCCCTCTTTTTTTTTTTTTTTTTTTAGTAATAGTAATAGTTTTGTGTTCATCTAGCTCTTAAGAACTTTCCTTGATTTAAAATAATATCAAGCACATAAGCATAGGTTACTCTTCACAGCAGTAAAAAAAAAGATTTAGCCAAGGATATGCAATTCTAATCTGTCTAATTGTAACAGCACAGTGCTCAAAACATGCACTTTGGAGCAATGAAACAAATTCATGCTCACACGATGATGGCTGAAGAATATATTTGTCAGCATTTACTACTTCCATTATTGATTTCTGTTTTTCTTTCTCAGTACCTGCTCTTTGATGAATTGAAAATTTTCTCTGAAAAACAAATTATCATCTATGTAGTAATTTTATTACCTACTGATCAGAACAGACATACCTGAACTCCTCCGAATCCATAAGGAGCTAAATAGCGCTCACACTCAAGAGCAATATCGGCCCAGCGCCATTCAAAGAGATGTACGATAGATGTCCTCCCAAGGAGAGTATTAGGGTTGTACTGTGCCCAGCAAAGCCCTACAATTAACAGAAGAAATGAGATACCCATCCTGTGCTCTGCGATCAGTTGCACTCTTCTTGCTGCCTATTTATGTTCCTGCAAAAGGGTAAAGTGCACATTACAAAATACACATTTAAAACTAAATGCCCATCTTTGGCGTCGTATTTCTTTAACTCTATTGTCATTTTCTCTGTGAACTGGATTCTAAGTTATATCAACCTCTCACACTGATTGGAACTTTGTTTTCCTGAGTTAAAACTCAGACATTGTCTAATCCAGGCTGTCTCTAGCATGTAAAAGTTGCAATTTTATTAGTATAAAGCCCAAAACAACCCCAAAATGCAAAGGAGTACTTATATAGACTGAAATGGACATTTAATTTTTCATTTTAAAGTACAATACCTTACATTCCTATTTATATTTATCCTTGAGAGGCATCTTTTTTTCAAATCTGTGTTACTATCACTTATGCATATTTAGATAAATTTGGAGCGTAGCAGAAATTTAGATAAATATTGGAGAAGTGGCATGTTTCTCACCATGAGTTGCCACAAAGCCCCAGGTATTTTGGAAGTCTAATGTATGTGATTCTGTCATTCATGATGTGCATGACAACTATCATTGAAATAGCAGCCCTAACCTGGGAAGACCTCTCAGATACAGAAGTGACTATACTCACTCAAACACAGAAATGCTAGATTTGTCTTGTAGGACAAAGTCCTACAAGAGCCTTTGCAAACAAAAGGCTGAACTACTGCTTCCCTTAAACAACAAAATACTTGTTACTTTTCTAAGTTATCTATTCCTTGTAGAATACTATCTTTACACAGAAACAACACAGGGCAAAGAAGAAATAAGGAGATTCTTGGGTGCTGTCAGGGGACACCAAACACTTCAGTGAAGGTATAAACATGAACACAAGGTCCTTCAGGTTTGCTACATAAAAGAAACCTGCACCTTTTTCATGTTTTAATACATATTTGGGAATGCACTACTGAAAACTCCAACCTACTATGATACACATACCCAAACAGAAATGTATAGATAAACTTAAAATAATTTCTACAAAATGACTTAGTTTTAAGGTAAGGACAAGCCACATCTCCCCGTCTGTGGAGCTGCACTCTCTGGAGCAAACTCAGACACAAAACATGCCACCTCATAAAGTGCAGAACCTGCCTCCCAGAGCCTGTTGCTATCAGCTGTCACTGCACTTCACAGGCAAACAAAATTATTTAGGATGAATCTTTTGACAAATTTAACTTGTTCTCTGCTTGTGAGCAGAATAATTAAAAAAATATATTTCCTTGTTGATCTTCATAGAGTATACAGATAAATTTCAGCCTTAAGCAGGTGTTCCCTGTGCTTTCACTTTCCTAAAATAATGCTTCGTTGCCCTGATAAGAAGAACATACATTAACAGAAAATGAGCTAAGAAAGTTTGATCTTCTCTGATGAGAAGCCATTTATCAGATTAGCAATTTTTACTTACAGCAGGTAAGCACACAGAACATAAACTACACAAAGCAGTAAGAATAATGTATTTTGACACAACCGGCCTAGTGACCCAAGGCCTAGTGTTTGAAGAGAAAGCTCAGTGTAGTTTTTCATTTATTTGAAATAGACTTTCTGATTTCAGTACAAGCCATGATAAGTGACTGGAGATGGTGAAATCCACAGCACACTTTATAATCTCTAGCTTCAAACTGCTTGTGAAATTTGGAAAAAAAGTAAGAGGCGCATACTCCCCAATGGAAGGGAGGACAACTGATTGCAATCCGATGAACACAGGCGAGAGTACATGCAGAAAGCAAGCAGAACTCGGTACGTACATGTCGGGGCTAGCCTATGTCCTTTTGAGCAGGCTTCAGCAGCAGCATCACACAACCTCCCCCCACCAGCCTAGGGCCGCCCGGGCACCAGCGATGAGAGCTCAACCCCTTCCGCTGAGGCAGAGCGGCGCGGAGGAGAGCGGAGGTACTGCGGCCGCCCGCCGCCGCAAGCTGCAGGTTCTCAGTCCTGTGACAGACTTGCTAGCAAGAAGCTGTTATATGGTAAAATAAACTAATATCTAAAAGCTTTGCATCACATGTCAACATGTTGATTCAAGATAAAATTACATTCTGGAATACATTTGTTCTCGAGATTTGAGAAAGGAAATCTCTTCACATATGCACCGAGCTCACTTATTTTTGTCTTTGAGTATAACACCACCTCGTGGTTATCCTACTCCCCTGCATGGATATTTAGTTGGCCTTTTATGCAATATTTTAATAGCTTGGTTCTGTACTTGTAACTCAGCGTGGGTGTTAGGATGTATTACATGTTTCCTCTTTTCTAGACACCTTTTTATGTGCAAAAACTTGAGTCACAAAGCTTTGGAAAGTGGCTCTATCCAGATACAGACTGAAAATGTGTTCTGCATCTTTGAAGGCCACAGTGGATTAACTAGTATTTTCTACTTTAATGTTTGTCATTATCAAATGAATTTTTAATTTCTTTCAGAACAGTAAAAATGACAACTAGAGTAAATATTTGTCTGCATATAACATAAAATGATCTCATGCCGGAACCCAATTGCTAGGCTGGAGTAAAAGACTCAGAGACTCACACTCAAGTGTTTGTCCTAGTTTAGGAATGGTAGCAATGTAAGCTGTTTAAGAAAACCAAAGTATTTACAATAGCAAATGTGCTCTCTTCAGTCTTGTATCAAGTAGGGAGATACATTTAAGGAATGAACAAGAAGCAGCTGCAGTCCTAGAAAATAAAGCGATTCCGAGTTTGACATTAGGTCCCTCGTAGCTGTCAATTTCCAAAAATACGGAGGGATAACAAATATGCAAACGCGATGCCCTAGCTGCAGGAGCTGACCTTGAAGACCCTGAGTGGAATGAGACAGAGGAAACCCAATGATTTGCAAAATATCACCTGGGGGCAACTGAGAAGTAATGACTTCAGTATGTGTACTTTCAACACAGCTATTATTAGAGGCTGTGATTTTGTGTATAAGCCACCTGTATTTACTAGCCAGTTGTTAATAAGATACTACACTTTGTAACATATGGATTTGCCACTTGTAAAATGTCAAAGCATGCAAATTTACAGCAGCTGTTACAAAATGCTAAGGCAGAAGCTAGAAAGATTCTAACACGATGGCAGTGTTATAAAGCAGGTAATGGAACCAATTAAGAGAGTGGGAGAACCCTGCTAGTGAGAAATTTTCTTTGGCTGGTCCCCCACTGCCACCAGTATCTTCAAAACGCTGCTGCACCCTGTAGTAGTTATACTGCTAAAGTAAATGTGTGTGTGCTTTGCCATAGTAGGGACCTGTAACTGGATGAGGCAGGAAAAACTCCACATTGACAATAAGGTGCAAAGACTAAGGCTGGCAAAATGCCTCCTACCATAGTCAAGGGCAAGACTGGCTTAGCCTCTGTGTTTGCCACCAAGAAGAACCTTTAGCTCCGCTGTTGGCTGCAACCCATCAGGCGCTGACCAGTAGGGACACATGCCATGCCAGACCTTGATGTGAGGGATGGCCTCCCGTGTTATAAGAGGGCCATCCAGGAGAGAAGGGCAGGCCAAGCAGCCTGTGGTTGGCACGAGAGATGATCTAGTCCAAATGCCCTGCTCAAGCAGGGTCATCTAAAGCAGGTTTCATCATCCTCGCAGTAAAAAAAAAAACAACAAACCAACAACAAAACAAACACACACACACACAAAAACACAACAAACCCACAACAAAAGTTAGCATATAGATGCAATTCAAGCAGAACAAACAGAAATAACCACTTTATCTTAAGTAGTACTGCAAAATTGAATGGCGTTAGATATGTTATTAGCATCACAAGAGAGAGTTTGCTCTGTAATCAATGACAGTTGTTGCTCTTACATAAATCAAAGTGTAAGAATCAAAACCAATTTAGAAGAAATTTGGAAGAAAGTTAGAGTGCTTCATGAGATGGCCAGATGACACTTCTTGGGGTTTTGAGGAGATGTAGGAAAAAAAAAAAAAAAAAAAAAATCAGCTTCCTGGTTACCTAATCTTTCCTGATTAAGGCAACTGTTTGTAGGAATACTGATGTTAATTATTATAATCTTAATCACTTGTGGCATGGTACAATGTTTTCTCTGGTGTTGCAAACAATCCATGATGAACTATGAAGAATGGAAGAGAAACAAAATTAAGCATCAAGTAGAAACAGGGAAATACTTTAGGAAACTTTAAATAAGAATGGAATAACTCAGTTGCAAAAGAATTTGCAATAGGACAAGAAAAGGGGGGATTGAAGAATGGGGTTGACTGAAGAACGGGGTTGTAAATAAGTAACTTCAAGGACTTTAGGCTTTGTTAGCAACTAACATAATAAAGAAATGGCTAAGATAAGCATTGCACAAGAACTGGCCAAAACTGGCCTGGTGGTTACTGACATGACAACGATCCTGAAATGAAGTAATAAGGATAATGAAGAAATAACCACCAGGGGTCCCAAAGCCCACTACCACATTTTAGTGTGCACGCGGGAGGAATGCTCTAGAAGTATGATGTAATGTATAAGTAACTCCATGAATATGTATGCAATCTAATGAATATGTATGTTTAAGGACAATATAATCACAGCCTGGTTGATGCTCAGATGAGACATGCTAGAAAGAGCTATCCCCCGTGCCTCCAGGCACTGCAACAAAGAATACCTGCTTGTCAACTTCAACTTTGTTGGCGAGTTCCTGGAGATTTCTCCGAATCAGAAGACTCCACCTTCTGCGATCAGTCACAGGCTGAGTGTCTTCTCCCCAAAGGGCCACCTATTGATCTTAAACTGATCTTATACATGCCCAGTAACTTACACCAGCTGTTACTAGTGATTAGATCCTGGTAGTGTATCACTTCAGTCTTGTTTTTGCAGAGTTCCTATCACTGGCAATTTGAACTTTATCCTGTCACAAACTTCTATTTTATCAAACTTGCCTGAGTCAGTGCAGACAAGCAATGTATCACAGAGACGTGATGAGGAAATCCTATCAACTCCTGTTGATCCAGCACGGTTTTAACAGCTACTTCT